ACCTACTGCTGCATCCTGCTACATTCCTTCGCGCGCGACGTCCTCTCACCGCGACGCGACCATTTCGTTCCTAACGCACCACACCCGGACCCGGGTGTGGTGCAGATCGACCGAAATTGCCGCATAACGGCGATAGGGACGCCGCGCGCGAGTGAATGCAGCAGAATGCAGCAGCAAGTCAGAATTACAGGAGCGAGGTCAGAAGTAAAGGAGCAAAAGAACTAACAGTAGAATCATGCCTAAAATAATAATTTTATATGGATTCAGCTGTATGGAGAACGCTAGAGCTGTAATGACGGCCAAGCGAATGGTCCGTGACAGCCGCGTGCGACGAATGATTACACAAAAGCGACTCTCATGCTCGCCTCTCACGGGACCCAGCATTCCTACTTTCATATTGCCTTTTTTTCCATTACGCCTCTCAGCTTCTTGGTTTCTCTTATGAGCAATCAAATTCAGGTTTTTCATGAGTAGACTGGGCGGTCGACGTTCCTCTCAATTTGCCATTTTTCAGGAATTCTAGTTCTCATATCAAACGATATCACTTATCAAAGGAAGGCTAAGAAGCGTAGCCCGAATTATACTTTGTATCATGATCTCTTACATCGAGATGTTGAGTTGTGAGTTAATTGTACTTTAACCTTACAAAACTATTCAGATCGTTATTTTGAAGGGCACTTTCAGTCTCAACTTCTCTTCCCCTACCGTTCATAGCAAGTCAAAAGTTATTGTAATCGTCTGCACGCGGCCCAATGACACTGATATGCGTGATGCGATTCGTCAGACATGGGCCAATCCGCATTTCTCGAAAGCTGTTCACGTGAGTTTTCTATCGAGGTCTTTCCATACAATGATATGCCCTCGTTTTTTACTACCACCGAATCATGGCATGCCTCATGTTGACGACGACACGAGCCTTGATTTTAGTCGACCGCCATTTAAAGGCACAGTTCACGAAAAAATGGAACCTTCCCCTCAGAAGATCAGTTGTTTGCGTGTGTTGTGTGCAATTGCAGACCCTGCGCGTCGTTCGTCTGACTCGCCCGAACACTCCCCTTAACCGCGATTTTTGGCTATATAACTCGTCCAACACCCCCTTTTCACGTCTTTTTTGACCCTTTGTATTACTTTTAATCGTCGTTTTTCGCGGTTTCTGTTTTACCATTGAACTACCGTAGGCCGTACCTATCACTTAACGTCAAAAACCGGATACCACTGAATTATCGTGAACTGTGCCTTCAAGGCAATCGGTTTAGCCGATTTGTTAGGCTAATGGACTATACAATACACGTGCAATTGTTTATTACGACGTGTAAGGTAACCGACAATAATATACAAATCTGCAGTCTTATATACATATAGATGTGGGCGATGCCCAGAGCAGACGAACCATCCAAAAGTGGACGAGTGTTCACGGCATTGTAAAGGCTGTAAAGGTTGTACCATTCGTACCGAGACCTACACGTTGCACGCAGACAGCTTACTGTAGCCAGCTGTGCGTAGTGGTACACGCATTCGGACAGCTCGTTTATGTAGCCACTCCATGCAACTTTTCTCATCATTTTCTCGACCAACTCCTATTTTTACTATTTGTTCAAGCCTTTATTCCTCTGAAAGCACCAATTCTCGCGTTTCCTGGCCACTTTTGTCCTATTCTAGACTATCACTTCCATTATTTAGATGAAACCAAATGTCTCATGATTATCGTTATGCCTTTGACCTTATTTTTCATTTCTCTGCCCGATCATTTCCAGTTATTATCGCATAGATCCTCGTCGGTCGGAGTGTTTTATTTTCAGAACAAAAGCGCATCTGTTGTATTCGTGACAGGCTTGGCTTCCGCTTCAGACTCAGACATGATCAACGACGAACAACAAAAACACAACGACATTCTACATGTTGACGTACCAGAATCATACGCAACACTTGTTTACAAGGCATTTTTTACTATCTTAAAGATTCATCCTTCAGCGATAGTTGGTGGAAAAGTTGTGTGTAAGTAGTAAAAGGTCAAATTTTGGAGCGTTGACCAATCCCGCCTGAGGGATGCACACCGAGTTCGATTTCCACACAGAATTGTAGTGGCGTATTGAAAGGGTATTCGGCCTATGCAATTGAATGCGGTCACCAGCTGATGTTCAATTCAGAGCTTTCACCCCTCAGGCGAATTTGGTTCCAATTGTATGATTCGGAGACCAGGATTCATTATGGTTGTATGAACTGGGATAGTCTCATCATTGCACGGCCCAACCCTTTCATAAGACTCTTCAGATCACCCTTCGTATAATGCCCACCGGTTTGCTCTTCAAAGTCATAGACATTGAAATGCTTATAAAAGAGTAGTTTTGCTCTGGAAAACTCGGCCTTCTAGTTCCTGATTTTGCCACAAAGATTCTGGAACTCGTAGTTACTGTATAGCCTGGGGCATGTACAGCTTTGAAGGGAAGAATGAAACAGACATTCTTCCCCCTTTTGCGCTGCCTTGGTAAACGAATGGTGATTAATATTACGCTATATATATAGATCTACTGATGGTCCCCTATTAAGATATTTGCTGCATATCGTTGGATTGTTGCCAACTACCCAGGAAAGTTCGTGCTTAAAGTCGATTCTGATGTCGTGCTTCACCTTGATAAGGTAAGTATCGAGTTTCCAGAGAGGCGGTTCATTTTGCAAATAGGGTTAAGCACTCTCGGCTCCGCTTTGGGGGTCGTGGGAAAGTCAGCTGAATCTCCTCGAAGGAATAATTTTCCAGGTAATTCCCCTTCTTAAGCAACCTCACGAGAGATATATGCTGTGCCATATTCACAAAAAGGTCCAACCCATTCGAGACGTTGATAGCTTATGGTAAGTGTCGTTGATAGTGATAAGTTCTTGTAATTTGTCTCTTGATCCTCCTTTTATCCTGTTAGCCTATTCTACCACTGTTCATATTTACTGGTGCTTACTTTGGTCGCTCTTTTGTTACAATTTTTACTTTTATTCAGCCCATCGCGTTCTACAGTTCAAAAGTTTTCAAGGTACATTCCTGAATCATCATATCATGAGCGATACCTACCCGATTACTGTAATGGTCCGACCTATCTTATAAGTCCAGCAGCCTTAGCAGCTCTCATAGAGGTCGCCTGGAGGCATAAGGTGAGAAAAGTTGTTAAGACTGTTGCGATGGTACAATTAATCAATTTTTATTTCTCTGGTATTCCTGATTGTAATCTCTTCAAAACCGAGAAGGTGCTTCATCGAAAATCGACATAATTCATTTAGTTTGCAGTAATAGTTTATCCCGTTGTCGGTTGTCTACCCTTCGAAACTTATTTAATTTTTATTTTTTACCTTATTTTTAATTCAATTTGATTTTATTTTAATTTATCCCGCAGTCGGATGTTTACACTTCGAAATTTATTTGATTTTTATTTATTTACACTATCTGTGATTTATTTCAAATTGCTTACAGATCTTTGAAGTCGAAGACGCTTTCTTCACAGGTGTACTGGCTAGATCAGCAAATGTTCAGCTAGTGAAGGAGCCAGGATTTTGGAATCGACCGGTGAGTAGAAGGATTACTGGTCTATACTTCAGCTCTAGTTTGTCTTCGACACGCCGAAACTAGATCTTACAATTAACTACGAACAACTCCTCTTTTACTCTATACCGAGAGTGAAGTGAGAACGTGCAGGGTCTCCGCGAGCCAAGCTACCTACTTTTCCTAAGCCGAGAAAAAACCAGGAAGGAGTAAATATTCAAACACATATATCCGAGCTCTTAGGCGGAGGAGGTGTAGTGGTATGTGGCGCACTTCAACACGCACGGCCACGGTTTCCAATTCCGGACCGACATCCGCCTCGGCCAACCAAGCCTACCATCCCTCCGCGGTCGGTGAATTGGTATCAGACTCGTCTGGGAGGATAAAAGCACTGAC